TCGAATTGATTTACAGTTCTGTATTATCGTAACGAAAGTGATGTGTTGTCTTCCTAGTGCTTAGTTTTCATGCGAAAAAAGCTGCTCGCGACAAAATAAATTCCTATGTAAACTGCACCAGAATAGTCCACAGATGCCGCTTTCAAGATCTCAATTTTCAAAACTTTCTGGGGAAGGCCCCCCCCCCCCCGACCACCCGCCGACGCGTTTCGCGCCTGCGTCGCTCGCGGGCGGGCGACTCTAAATCCGTGCTCTGAGAATTTAACCTTATTTTAGGCCCTGGTACTCGGACTTTTATTTTTGAGACTCTCTGCGGAATATCGGAATATTCCCATGGGTTAAGGTAAGTTTAAGGTATCAGCGTCGAAAAATACTAACGAATTCATTTTTAAAAGAAGTGTATCATATATATCAGTTATATTTATGGTAGTCTGTATAGTAAATGTCTTGTTTTTGTTAATAAACCCGTTCTTTACTTCTTCTAGTTTACCCCAGTCTATTGCTACATCATGTGCAAATTCATCCTTGGACGAGACTTTATAATTACAAGACTCGAACACACCATCTGTACATTGTTTAACTAGTGATTGACTCTCACCATTGCTATTTAAAAGCTTTACTGTATAACTAGCTTCAGCAGTTTCAATATTTTCACCTTCTTCTATAACAGGTTTAATAGTTTTATCTTCTACTCTATTCATTTCCAGTCTAATTAATAATTTTGATGTACGTGTACTACGTATAACACTCACAAACCATTTTAATTCGTGTATTATTAAAACATCACTATAGTAGTACTCATCTGGCTTCACTATCTGGTTCAAACTAAAACTACTGGTAAATGTTATTGGTACACGTACTTCACCCAGTAGTCGTTGTCTTGGTTTTCGTTCGAATGTTGGTATTTCCCCTAATAGTCGTCTTAAACCGTCTACATCAACCTCCACCATAGAATAACATGGATGTCTGACTACAGGTGTATCTAAATGTGTTGATATGTCATACTTTGTTTTGGTTTGAGCTTCTTTTAATCCATCTTTATCTACAGCAGTAATTATAGATCTATGTTGTAATATACGATCAGCATATTCACACCATTCTGTCATTGCAGATATCATATTGGCAAAATATTCTACTAGTTGGGTTAGTTTACTGTTTTCATATTCACCAATTTTATTGATGTCATCTGTAATTCTACCTCCAATCTTCCTGGTTTTTTCACAAATATTGTCTATTTGTTTATCAATTTTCTCACATGCTGTCTTACACGAGTTGTTCAAGTCAGATATTTGGGTCTTCAGAAAGTCAGCGTGTTCTTGTAACTGTTTTATCTTCTTTTCGGATTCTGTCTTCAGTTTCAAGAATGTGTCCCTAACTTCCCTTTCTGCGTCATCCAAATCAGCTTTCGTATGATTTTCATGATCCACCATAGCACAAACAGAACAACATGGTTTGCAACAATCTCGACAATAAACTTCTATTTTTTTCTTCTTGTGTTTTATACAATACAGTTTATCATCATCATCGTCTTCTAGATAAAAGTTGGTGACAAACTGACTGGCACCACCTTTGGGTACTTTGATTTTTCGTCGACAAATAGGACAGTTGAAAAACATTTTTAAATGAGCTTTAGCTTTGATGTAGTCATCTATACATTCTTCGCAGAAAGTGTGGTGACATGGTAGTAATTTAGGTTTAGTAAAATCCTCTATACAAATAGAACAGGTATATTTTGATGCCATCTTCTGTGACGATCCCTGGGTGTTTTTCTATTGGTATATAAGAATAACGTCCATACATTCAACACAGAAAAGCCTAGTTATTTTATGTTTCTATGGCAATTAAGAATAAAGTTTATAAATTCATAACAGATCAATGAATATTAGCCCAACCCCGGCTAGCGACGAAATGCGTTTGACAAGAAACTGAATGATACGATTCATGTTATCCAATCTAATAGCCAGTGAAATCATTCGATGGACTTGGGACTGACATAGATTGTTATATTCAGGTCAACCCCGCTCATATCAACAAACATCTTATATATATAATGTGATATATTGGATGCTAATAGTAAGTGCAGGAGGACCCACATATATATACATGTGATATAGCCTATAGGGATTTTAAAGGGCGGGTATATGGAAGTAAGTATGTGTGTTAAAGACCCAGTTATTGTGATACATATTAAAAGAAGACTCGATACTATAGACGTAAGTATGATACCTTGATATGTGTAAAAGGATTAGTCCCTGTGGTATATATGATATAGTCTAAGGGGAATTTGAAATATACTCTTTAAAAAAAAGTAGGACATATTGAAATGCAAATACCTATGCAGGTTGTGATATGATAAATAGTCATGGACACTTGACATGCTTTGAGAGTATGTTCACAGATGAAGAACTTATCGCCCCAACAGAACCACTGAGCTGCACATGCGACACGCAATAGCGCCATACACGTGGGAGGGGTTCATTGTCAAATTTGACACTTCAAGGAAGGGTTGATGAAAACTGTCGCGTGCTGGTTTATCCTTTCCATGTTTGCTTTCCTATTGGTTCTTGCATAAGATTTACTGTTTAGCGTATCTTTGCTTTAGTGTGTTACGTGTTCGTCGACGTCAACCGACAACACTGCAAGAATTGACCGTGGCACTGAAAGAGGAGTCCGTAAGATTGTCCCAAATCGTGATTGGACGGTTGATAAGGATCATGCCATTACGAATTGCTGAATGTCTGAGGATTGGTGGAGCAATTACTCATTATTAAGACAAAAATCAAAAACGTCCATTTTCACTTTTGACAGTGTATCTCTTTGCGAGTGAAATGGGGCCGTCAGATAAGCCGCCCATATGAACAGATTATGTTCATGTGTAGGCAATTGGCCTGTTATCAACATACACTGGTTACCTCTAATAACAACAGCAGTGCATTTCCACAGTTTTGTATTGTTTCTGAATATCCCCTACTTTTTTTGGAAGAGTATATATTAAAGGGAGAGTCTATGAGAGTAAGTATATTTGTTAAAGGGACGGTTACTGTGAAATATATGAATTAGGGACAATCAGTATAAATCCTAAATTTCAGGCCGTACTTGTTTTTGCAGCATTGTATTTAACACACAGGTTCTGTACGTATCCCCAATAGATATGAACATATCTTTTAAACAATTATCCTGTAGATAGAAACGCATAAAGGGATCTTCGTCTTCAGTGTAAGAAAAACTCTGTTTCCATTCGAATTGTTCTAATACACGTTCCGTTACATTTTCGAATGGTGTTGGGGTTTTGAGAGACCACATGGCATTATTCTCAATTTAAAGATACCCTATTGAGTAGCAGATGTTGTCTCCACTTTGTCTTGTTTAGACATTGCTATTTGCTAATATCCATTTGCTAGATCTAAAGTACTGATGTACGCAAAATCTAATATTTCCATCTTTGTGTCAAACCAATCAGTTACGGATAGAATTTGTACCTAATTCTCTTTGAGCGTCATCCAAATCAGCTTTCTGGGTATTTAATGGGTTTACCGTCTGGGTAAATTAAAACGGACAGCCGGGCTACGGTCTACTCGTAGATCAGATTCATATGTCAAGTTTTTGTACGCCAACGTATACACGGAATGTCCGACCTTTTATAAAGAAGAGAGTAGAAATTTAATTTTTGACTGATCAACAGTAGATTTATTATATATACACATATAAAGCTTATAAGTCCTATATATATATATATATATATATATATATATATATATATATATATATATATATATATATATATATATATATAAAATAAATATACAAATATTTACATCTTGAAACTCGTTTGATTCTCAATTCTATCATCCAATACAATTACCTGTTATATCGCCCACGGTCAGGCTTTCAAATTTTATATATTGTTTGGGTTGCTTTAATCTGATTCGGAAAACAGCTTTTATTATTTTTAAGAAAATATCACATTGTCACCAATCAGATGAGTCAACAATATTCCTTCTAGAGATTCAACTTTTAAAAATGACAATAAACGGCTATAATAGGATTTCAGGTTTTGTTTGTAGATATTTGATAACTTATGTTTTTGTCCTTACAACACAGTTCATCGACATGGTATTAACATTAATAATTTCAGCTGATTCACTCAACAATATTATAAATATGAACATCTTACATCATACACATACATATATATAAATATTTTAAATGAAGAAAACCATCTCCCCCCAAAACCAACATTATTCATTTTGTGTTAAATGAAATATTAACAAATGATTTATAACAATTTATGTAACAAGTCTACCATAGCAACCAGGTGTTGTTGTTTTTTTAACTTGTACAAGATAGTCTGTATGCCGACTGACATGGGTGATCACAATATAGTCTAACAAGAAATGTGGGCGTGTATAATAAAATCATAGAGTATATGAATAGTATGAAAACAGAAACATATCAGTGTATCATCCAGTTACAACTCACAAGAGACTGAAAACACGAGACACTGAAAACACGACCAATATTCGCCCTGATGTTCAGCGAGTCTGGATGACAACTTCAAAATATCTACAGGTATTTATATCACCAAGACATGAACAATTATAGTAGACATATGTTAGCGAGATAGAGAGAGGGGGGGGGGGTGAGAGGGTTTGACGTCCACTCGACACAAACTAAGTCATTACGGGACTAACACATGGTTCAATTTTATTTCACTAATTCGCTTGCACGTAGATTCTTTAGCAGTGGGAGGAAACCGGAGGACCCGGAGAAAACCCACGAGGTTGTTGTTTTAGTGAAAATGAAAATTATTGCCATGGGTATTTTTTTTTTATTTCTATGCCCCTGAATTTGTACTGACTAGAATAATATAGATTTTACACAGTAATATGAACTTTCTTTAAACTGATGGATATAAATCTCTTCAAAATAAATTATAGATTTTACACAGAAATAATAATTCGCTATTAAACTAGTGTTTATGAATATATTATAAATTATAATAAATTATAATACAGAAATAAAAAATTCGCAATAAAGTCCTTGGAAGAAAATGATATAGGTTAATAAATCTATTATAATAAAGGACAGAGCGACATTATGTCAGGTCGACTCTATCAGTTTTAGATACTGGTAGATACGGTATAACACGTTGTTACTCCATGCAAAGATTGGACATTGTTCATTTTATAAATTGATAATAACATTATCAACTTTAACATTGTTGATGAATATATGTCCATATTTGGTCATATTAACCCAAGTTTCAGACACGACAAACACCATTTTCAAAGTTAAATTCATCAGTTAAAATACTGGCATAATCAGTTAAAACAGTCCATGGGTTATAATCCCTGCATTTCTTTCATTAATTCATCTAAAGATTTTTCGGTACTGTCTACGGTCTTCTCGTGAGAGGCCTAAAATGATAATTTTATAAGACAATAAATCAGTTATTTGCTATCTCGACTATATAAAATTTATTATAAATCCTGTAAGTCTACTTGTCCATCTGTCTACACAACAGTCTTCAAATCTGTCTACACAACACGAAACCCGACTAGTCTATAATGCATGTTTAGCTGTCTATAACACCTGTTTATTATATACAGTGTAATATGATTACCTGTGTTGGAGCAGGTGTTGTATAAGCAACTTTTAGTCCTTCAACCAAATTTGGAACCTGACCGTTAGCTTCTTTTAATTCATCTTCTGTTGTTTCAGATACAAGCTGTATTTCTAGAATAAAAAAATCAGATCACTTTTATTTGACCATGGAGTAAATTCAAAGATATCATACACAGCAATAGCCTGAACATGTTATAACTATCTGTAAAACTACTATTGTAAATATTACCTTTGTTTACATCAGGAGATACCAACAGGTTACTAGAATGAAACCCAGTCTAAGTAACTGCAGGACATTTGGGTCACTGGAGCGCCGACTTCATTAGCCCAGTCGGAGTAGAACTACTGTAGGACGTTAAACCCCCGTTTCATTTCATTACAGACATTGAAGAGTCTTATATTCTGGTCCAATATAAACCCATTCTTTAAGTGCATATATACATTGAAACAAGAGGGGAATTAGATATTATCAATTAAAAACATGTATTGGATATGTAGAGTCTTAAATACCAACTGTTGACGTAGTTGAGTTATTTAGGATAACGGTTATTACGACTATCTTTATCTTATATTAACATAAATACACACTTGTCCAAACCATTACAGAGTTTAAAAACTGATAATATATACTGGTAATATATACACAATTAAACGGTTGACTTATTAACCTAAGTGTTATACTAATGAACCTAGACCTTGACATTGTTAAACTGATACCGTTGACTAGGGCTTTACAATGTTAAACTCATACCGTTGACTTATAATGACATTTGTTTTCCCTGATAAACGTTAGCTTGGATCTATCTTACCCCAGACATTATCATCATGAACTATTTCTTCTACTTTGTCTTCAGTTTTCTCTACTTTTGGTTTAGTTGCTTCTTTGATCTATAACAGATAAAACTGACACTATTACTCATGCTCGTATATTCTTTCATGAAGAAGGAGATACAGACAAACAAAAACAGTAAAGTTTACCATTTAGACAAGGGACAGCATAGGTCGATGGAACCGCTTCGTCATATCGATTTTAATACTCAAGAAAACCGACCTATTGTTGTATTGATATTCCTTTTAGAGATCCAACTTTTATAGTATTACAGTTTACAAGTGAGTTCTGTATCACACGCACTAAAGGACTGACATTGTTATTACAGATCCAACTTTTATAATATTATAAAATATGTCTAAAACCTGCACAGCGTGAGACACCCAGACCACACCATGTCTAAAACCTGCAAAACTTGAGACACCCAGACCACGCCATGTCTAAAACATGCATCGCGTGAGACACCCAGACTACGCCATGTCTAATACTTGCAAAGCTTGAGACACCATGCCATTAAAGGTATAAAGAACTGTGTTTACCTGAAACGCTTGTTGTTGTTTTATACAGTAATTATCATCACATTGTGGATTAGGTCGTAATTTCATAGTTGGAAAATAATCTTGTAATGCATTATAACCTAAATAATAAGTCACATCTCCAAAACTTAATAAATACCTGAAATATATATATAAAAAACCTGTTAAACATCTGGAATATAAAAACAAATTTTGATCAACATTTGGAATATATGAAAATAATGACAAACGCAAAGCGTGGAATACGCTCACGCAGCAGGTTTTCTTAACTGCAGCTTATCTGAAAGGAAAATTTTGAAGTTGAGAAAATATGATTAGGATCTAGGGTTCATCCTGTTGTGACCGCATTGCTTCCAGCCAAATTTAAATTAAAAAATGTTTAAATAAAAACCTGTAGTCTGTATCACGTTCACTTCGTATTCGGCAAAGTGGCGATAACTCTGGAACGGAAGACTCAGGTCTCCTGCTGATGAATATCGATAAGGAGCGATTGCTTCAATGCTTCAAGCCTTATATCAAAAAGATCCATCAAAAACTAAAATGTGTTCACAAGGTTTTCCGGAAAAGGGGTATAACTCTGGAACGGAAATTCAATGAACGCTGAATATCGATACGGTTCATCCTCAAACCAAATTTTACAAAAATCTGTTAACAACTACAGCCTCTGTCTTGTTTACAAGACAGTGCCTTAAAACTAGATCCTCTATCGGATTCACAATGTTTTCGGGATACTGTAGATAACTCTGAAATGAAAAGTTGCAGAATGACTGAGTTGATCCTCTAATGACCCCAATTCTTCCCACCAAATATGGCTTAAGGGTTTTGGCAAAGCTGTGAACGGAACGTTGTGGAAAGATGAAAATCGATAGTGTTCATTAACTCACGACCCCAATGCTTACAGCCAAATTTGAAACTATTTTATCAAAAAATATAGCCTTTATCGCGTTCACAAGGTTTTCAGCAAAGGGAGGGGGGGCATACCTCCGGAACTGAAGTAATAGAACGCTGAAATTTGATAGTGTTTCGTCCTCTCATGAACACAATGCTTCACACCAAATATGAAAAGAATCTGAGAAATCTGTAGTCTATATCAGGGGCATAACTCTGAAACGGAAAGTCATATAACACTGAAAATCGACAGGGTTCATTGGCTCATGGCCTCTATGTTTCCCAAATATGAAAACAATCTGTTAGAAACCACAGACTCTATCATTTTCACAGGGTTTTCAACAAAAAAAAGGGGGACATAACCAAAATGATTCACATATAATTTCGAAATGAAATAAAGTCACTATCGCGTTCACAAGTCTAAAAGGGGGTTGGGATGGCCTAGTGGTCTAGAGTGTCACGCTTCGACCTCTAGTTGGCCGGTCACCTCTGGCTTGCGGCTGTGGTTTCGATCCCAGGTGTGAGCGTATGTGGCTTGGAGATAGGGGCGCCTTCTCAACCTCGTGGGTTTACTCCGGGTACTCCGGTTTCCTCCCACAGCGTGCGCTAAGATCATTAAAATGAACTTGTCTGCGATATCACCTTCGGTGGAAGCGGACGTTAAACGCTAAGAACAACAACACAAGTCTAAACCCTGCAGCTTTTCTGCAAAGTGGGGAAAGGGGGGTATATCTCATGACTTGCCTAGGTGATTGGTGGCCATTTGAATGGTCTGGTGCGGGTTCGATCCATGTATTGCGTGTTCCAAGCTAAGTGGAAACTTATATGACTGCAAACTTATATGACTCAGTCATAATTTATACTGTTCAAATTTAATGAAAATAAAAAATAAAGGAGTAAAATATCAAAGATGGGCTTTTCATCATTGATAGTCATGTGTACATGCAGCATTTTCCCAAGAGTGATTTTAGCTATTTTCCTAAATAATTCGGTTTTCAAAGCTAATTTTACAAGAACCGAAAAAAATATGGCTTTTAATAATGTTTATTCAAACAATACCCATTGATACATTTTACATGTGATAAGTAACAACGTCTAATATAGTGTAAAATTTCTACACTACATCGATAAAAGTTGGTGACAAACTGACTGGCACCACCTTTGGGTACTTTGATTTTTCGTCGACAAATAGGACAGTTGAAAAACTTTTTTAAATGAGCTTTAGCTTTGATGTAGTCATCTATACATTCTTCGCAGAAAGTGTGGTGACATGGTAGTAATTTAGGTTTAGTGAAATCATCTATACAAATAGAACATGTATATTTAGATGCCATCTTCTGCGACAATTCCTAGGTGTTTTTCTATTGGTATGTAAGAATAACGTCCATACATTCATCACAGATCAAGCGACACCATGTATTGGGCTAGAGAAAAGCCTAGTTATTTTATGTTCCTATGGCAATTCAGATTAAAGTTTATAAATTCATAACAGATCAATTAATATACGCCCAACTCCGGCTAGCGATGAAATGCGTTTGCCACTAAACTGAATGATATGATTCATGTAATCTAATAAAAAGAAACCTTTAGCCAGTGAAATCATTCGATGGACTTGAGACTGATACAGACTGTTATATTCAGGTCAACCTCCCTCATTTCAACAAACATATTATGTGATATATTTGATGCTAATAGTAAGTACAGGAGGACCCACATATATATACATGTGATATAGCCTATAGGGATTTTTAAGGGCGGGTATATGGAAGTAAGTATGTGTGTTAAAGACCCAGTTATTGTGATACATATTAAAAGAAGAGTCTATACTTCTATACTATAGACGTAAGTATGATACCTTGATATGTGTAAAAGGATTAGTCACTATGGTATGTATGATATAGTCTAAGGGGAATTTGAAATATACTCTTTAAAAAAAAGTAGGACATATTGAAATGCAAATACCTATGCAGGTTGTGATATGATAAATAGTCATGGACACTTGACATGCTTTGAGAGTATGTTCACAGATGAAGAACTTATCGCCCCAACAGAACCACTGAGCTGCACATGCGACACGCAATAGCGCCATACACGTGGGATGGGTTCATTGTCAAATTTGACACTTCGAGGAAGGGTTGATGAAAACTGTCGCGTGCTGGTTTATCCTTTCCATGTTTGCTTTCCTATTGGTTCTTGCATAAGATTTACTGTTTAGCGTATCTTTGCTTTAGTGTGTTACGTGTTCGTCGACGTCAACCGACAACACTGCAAGAATTGACCGTGGCACTGAAAGAGGAGTCCGTAAGATTGTCCCAAATCGTGATTGGACGGTGAATAAGGATCATGCCATTACGAATTGCTGAATGTCTGAGGATTGGTGGAGCAATTACTCATTATTAAGACAAAAATCAAAAACGTCCATTTTCACTTTTGACGGTGTATCTATTTGCAAGTGAAATGGGGCCGTCAGATAAGCCGCCCATATGATCAGATTATGTTCATGTTGGCAATTGGCCTGTTATCAACATACACTGGTTACCTCTAATAACAACTGCAGTGCATTTCCACAGTTTTGTATTGTTTCTGAATATCCCCTACTTTTTTTGGAAGAGTATATATTAAAGGGAGAGTCTATGAGAGTAAGTATATTTGTTAAAGGGACGGTTACTGTGAAATATATGATATAGGGACAATCAGTATAAATCCTAAATTTCAGGCCGTACTTGTTTTTGCAGCATTGTATTTAACACACAGGTCCTGTACGTATCCCCAATAGATATGAACATATCTTTTAAACAATTATCCTGTAGATAGAAACGCATCAAGGGATCTTCGTCTTCAGTGTAAGAAAAACGCTGTTTCCATTCGAATTGTTCTAATACACGTTCCGTTACATTTTCGAATGGTGTTGGGGTTTTGAGAGACCACATGGCATTATTCTCAATTTAAAGATACCCTATTGAGTAGCAGATGTTGTCTCCACTTTGTCTTGTTTAGACATTGCTATTTGCTAATTGATAGTCATGTGTACATGCAACATTTTCCCAAGAGTGATTTTAGCTATTTTCCTAAATAATTCGGTTTTCAAAGCTAATTTTACAAGAACCGAAAAAAATATGGCTTTTAATAATGTTTATTCAAACAATATCCATTGATACATTTTACATGTGATAAGTAACAACGTCTAATATAGTGTAAAATTTCTACACTACATCGAAATATTGATTTATTTTTTGCACAAGTATCAATTTTTGGCACTTCATACACAGTTAACGATATTTGTTCTGAAAAATTTGATAGTAAATTCTTAATCTATATATCATGCTCTTACAAACCCCACAGAATATATACTGGCTAGCAGGAATAAAATCAGTTCACAAAAATCGAATCATATAACAGTAGTTTCAAGACTTGTGAAAGGGTACCCTGATTCAAATGGTCATATCTCAGTCAATATTAATGCTAAAGTCATATAACTTTGAAGTTTTACATAAATTTGAATGTATATTTTTTGTCATAATTTTATGAGGAGGTCACTTTACAACTATCTGATAATTTTGGCCACTTGACATGGAATGACCCTATTGGCAAAAAAGAAAGCTCATCTGGTTCCCCCTAGTCTGTGGTGCAGGACCAAGGTCCGGCAAAAAATATTGTACTGGGTAGGTCTTATTATACAGGGTAGGTTTTATTATACAGGGTGTAGGTTTTATTAAAAGGGTGCAGGTCTTATTATACATATACAGGGTGTAGGTCTAATGTGACAAAGTATTCTAGAACTTTCATCAAATTGAACGATCATTTAGATGCTTAGAACTTTATGACCTCAGCTGGTTTTTGATCATATATGATATTGACTTTTCAACTCTGTATAAACTTCTGTTAAGGCACGAACTGGCTATGATCTAATTAAAGTAGCTAAGTCTCTAACTCAATATCATCCAAAGTCTTACACGTTGAAAACACGAATTATTTGTCAAATCAAATCAATATTGATGTTGTTATCTTACTGGGAGAAGGTAATTACTGGTATCCAATATTAAAGACAAAATAAACATTTTACCATTGGTACACGAATCGTGTACCATAGTTCGCTTCATCGTCATTTATAACAATTGGCCAGAAAGATCGAGGCTAGACATATTCCACAACTCTTGTCATACGGCGAAGCCATAACTTATCTGGAGATCATGCGCAATAGACTGGAATAACCAGACGCTAGAAATTTCTATTCGGTTGAGACTCATGCCGTATTCCACTCGACCTAACTGATTTGAAATTAGAGTCAAAATGGAAACAATTGAATGTAAATCAGTTTATATACCATCAGATTACATTATTACATGCGTGTCGACCCATTTGGGTCAATTTCTAGGTCCCAAATATTAGCGATCTATTCTCTGGTGCTATATAATCAGGAGTTTGCTGACAGTTCAGCCGCTACCTTGGCAGAGGGGCGGAATGGTGATTTAATATTGTTATATGTGTTCCTGTTGTAGTCTAGTTCCTGATGTAGTTTAGTTCATGTTGTAATTATGTAGCTGTTTTATATACCAGATGTAAATAAACTCTATATGTACAAAACTGATCTCTGTTATCACTTAACACTAAGATAGTGCTACACTTATTGTACAGCGCGGGCCTTATTGTACAGGGTATAGGTATTATTGTACAGCGTATAGTGTTTCTCATCAAACAGTATTTACCAATACATATAACAAGCACTGTTTTTAATCACACAGTATTTACAACACATATATAAGACATAGCTAAGGATTCTAATCAAACAGTATCGTTCTATATCAGTTATATTTACAGTAACCTGTACATTTGTACATGTCTTGCTGGCATCAATAAAACCCTTTATAACATCCTGTTTATGACCCCTGTCGTGTTATATCAGTTATATTTACAGTAGCCTCTACAGTAAATGTTTTGTTGCCATCAATAAAACCATACGTTATATCTTGTAGTTTATCCCAGTCGAAAGATACACCAGTGTCCATATAATAACCAGGTGTAAATGTACGTGTATCGTGTCCAACTAGTGATTTACTCTCATCATTTATATTTAACAGTTTCAGTGTATAACTAGCTGTAACAGCTTTAATAGTGTTATCTTCTACTTTATTCAATACCAGGTTAACAAATAATATTGGTGTAAGACGTATAACACTTACACACCATGATAATCCTTGTATTATTACAACATCACTATGGTACACCTGGTTCAAACTAAAACTACTGGTAAATTTTGTTGGTGTTTGTACTTGTACTTCACCCAGTAGTTGTTTTAAACAGTCTACATCAACCTCCGCCATAGAATAACATGGATGTGTGACTACAGGTTTATGTAAATTTGTTGATATGTTGTAATCTGTTTTGGTTTGGATTTCTGTTAATCCATGTTTATCTACAGTTGTAATTATAGATTTATGTTGTAATATACGATCAGCATATTTACACCATTCTTTCATTTTAGATGTCATCTTGTCAACATTTTGTACTAGTTTGGTTAGTTTACTGTTTTCATCTTCACCAATTTTATTGATGTCATTTTTAATTGTCCCTCCAATCTTCCTGGCTTTTTCACAAATATTGTCTATTTGTTTCTGAACTTGATCACAAGCTGTCTTACATGAGTTGTTCGTGTCAGCTATTTTGGTCTTCAGAAAGTCAGAATGTTCTTGTAACTGTTTTATCTTCTTTTCTGATTCAGTTTTCAGTTTCATGACAATTTCTCTCAATTCTTGGTCTACTTCATCTAAATCTGCCAATGTGTGGCCTGTATGATCCACCATAACACAAACAGAACAACATGGTTTATGACAATCTCGACAATAAACTTCTATTTCTTTCTTCTTGTGTTTTATACAATACTGTTTATCATCATCGTCGTCTTCTAGATAAAAGTTGGTGACAAACTGACTGGCACCGCCTGATGGTACTGCTGTTTCTTGTCTGCAGATAGGACATTTAAACTTGTTCAAGCGAGCGTGAGCCTTGATGTAGTCATCTATACATTGTTGGCAGAAAGTGTGGTGACAACATGGCAGTAGCTTGGGTTTGGTAAAGTTATTTAAACAAATTGAACAGGTAAATTTAGATTCCATCTTGTGAGACAACCCTATATAGTTTTATTCCTTCGGTAAATTAAAATAACAACCATAAATTCAACACAGATCAAGCGACACCATGCGTTGGTCAAGAGAAAATCCTAGTTATTTTGTATTTCTTTAGTATATAAGAATAACTCCATAAATTCATCACATATTAATTAATATACACCCAACTCATGTTATCTAATCTAATACACCCAACCTTTAGCCAGTGAAATCATTCGATGGACTTGAGACTGACATAGTTATATTCGGGTCAACCCCGCTCATATCAACAAACATCTTATGTGATATATTTGATGCTAATAGTAAGTACATGTACAGGAAGACCGCACTAAAAACAAAACCTACACGACCAGCCCACAGACAGAGCAATCAATATACAATAACTGTTATATCAAATCAAGTAAATGTATCAGGGGTGATATATCGTGAATTTGAAGGATTGTCTATGGAAAAAGTGTGATATTGCTGATAGATTTCATGCTAATAGTAAGTAAACAAAAACAAACCCCACACGAAAGACTCACAAACACTACACAGGTAGAGCAATCAATATACAACACATGTTATATCAAATCAAGTAAACGTATCTTCTAATGTGATATATGATGAAGGTGATGTAATTATATTAAAAGGAAGTGTGATATTTCTGATATATATTAATGGGGGGGTGTATGGACGTAAGTATGATGTATATGATATGTGTTTGGGTATTATATAGTCTACAGGTAATTTGACGTATGTATGATATATCTTTGTTAAAGGGCCTGTAACTCTGGTATATATGATATAGTCTACAGGTAATTTGTATGGACGTAAGTATGATATATGATATATATATATATATCATACTTACGTCCATACATATATATATATATATATATATATATACGATATAGCCTAAAGGGGATTTGATATACATTAAAGGGAGGGTCTATGGAAGTAAGCATATGGGTTAAGGGTCAGTCACTGTGAAATATATGATATAGGGACACCACCCTGTAAAATCCTGGTGATGGGGATAGAAAAGATTGACATCCTACATTTCAGACCTTACCTGTTTTGGCAGCATCATATTTAGCACTCTGGTCCGTTACTTATTCCTAATAAAAATAACGTCTATTTTCAACAATTCTCATGTGGAGAGAAACGCATAAAAGGTGTCTTCATCGCCAATGTAAGAAAAGCTCTGTTTCCATTCTAAAGGTTCTATTGTAAGCTCCATTACATTTTCGAACGTTCAGGAGGTTTTGCAAGACCAAATGGCATGACGTTAAAATGATAGATACTATATTGAGTAACAGATGTAGTCTCGACTTTGTCTTGTTTCGACAATGCTATTTGATCTACGCAAAATTTAATATCCATCTTTTAGTCAAACCAAACAGATACCGACAGAATTTGCCCCTAATTCCCTGTGCGCTTGATCCAAATCAACTTTCTGGGTATTTATTGTAAACAATCAGAACAGTTTTATACACAATGGGTTTACCGTCTGGATTAACGAAAACGGACAGCGGGGCTACGGTCTACTCGTAGATCAGATTCATGTGTCAAGGGTTCTTGTACGCCAACGTATACACGGCATGTCCGACCTTTTATAAAGACGAGAGTAGAAATTTAATTTTTGACTGATCAACAGTAGATTTATTATATATACACATATAAAGCTGATAGATCCTATATATAAAGTAAATATACAAATATTTACATCTTGAAACTCGTTTGATTCTCAATTCCATCATCCAATACAATTACCTGTTATATCGCCCACAGTCAGGCTTTCAAATTTTATATATTGTTTGGGTTGCTTTAATCTGATTCGGAAAACAGCTTTTATTATTTTTAAGAAAATATCACATTGTCACCAATCAGATGTGTCAACAATATTCCTTCTATAGATTCAACTTTCAAAAATGACAATCAACGGCTGTAATATGATTTCATGGGTTTTTTGTAGATATTTGATAACCTTATGTTTCTGTCCTTAGATTACAATCAACGGCTATAATATGATTTCAGTTTTTTTTTGTATCTGTCCTTACAACAGCAGTTCATCGACATGGTATTAACATTAATTATTTCAGCTGATTCACTCAACAATATTATAAATATGAACATCTTACAGCATACACATAAATATATATATAAATATTTTAAATGAAGAAAACCAACTTCCCTCTAAAACCAACATTATTCATTTTGTGTTTAATGAACTATTAACAAATGATTTATAACAATTTATGTAACTATTCTACCATAGCAACCAGATGTTTTTTAACTGGTACAAGATAGTTTGTATGCCGACTGACATGGGTGATCACAATATAGTCTAATAAGAAATGTGGGCGTGTATAATAAAATCATAGAGTATATGAATAGTATGAAAACAGAAACATATCAGTTTATCATCCAGTTACAACTCACAAGAGACTGAAAACACGAGACACTGAAAACACGACCAATATTCGCCCTGATGTTCAGCGAGTCTGGATGACAACTTCCAAATATCTACAGGTATTTATATCACCAAGACATGAACAATTATAGTAGACATATGTTAGCGAGATAGAGAGAGGGGGGGGGGAGAGTGAGAGGGTTTAACGTCCACTCGACACAAACTAAGTCATTACGGGACTAACACATGGTTCAATTCTATTTCACTAATTCGCTTGCACGTAGATTCTTTAGCAGTGGGAGGAAACCGGAGGACCCGGAGAAAACCCACGAGGTTGTTGTTTTAGTGAAAATGAAAATTATTGCCATGGGTATTTTTTTTTTATTTCTATGCCCCTGAATTTGTACTGACTAGAATAATATAGATTTTACACAGTAATATGAACTTTCTTTAAACTGATGGATATAAATCTCTTCAAAATAAATTATAGATTTTACACAGTAATAATAATTCGCTATTAAACTAGTGTTTATGAATATATCTCCTTCAAATAAATTATAATACAGAAATAAAAAATTCTCAATAAGGGCCTTGAAAGATAATAATATAAGTTAATAAACCTATTGTTATAATAAAGGACAGAGCGACATTGTTTCAGGTCGATTTTATCAGTTTTAGATAATGGTAGATACGGTATAACACGTTGTTACTCCATGCAAAGATTGGACATTGTTCATTTTATAAATTGATAATAACATTATCAACTTTAACATTGTTGATGAATATATGTCCATATTTGGTCATATTAACCCAAGTTTCAGACACAACAAACACCATTTTCAAAGTTAAATTCCTCAGTTAAAATACTGGCATAATCAGTTAAAACAGTCCATGGGTTATAATCCCTGCATTTCTTTCATTAATTCATCTAAAGATTTTTCGGTGCTGTCTACGGTCTTCTCGTTAGAGGCCTAAAAGATAATTTTATAAGACAATAAATCAGTTATTTGCTATCTCGGCTATATGAAATTTTAGTATAAATCCTATAAGTTTACTTGTCAATACGATCAGTCTTCAAATCTGTCTACACAACACAAAACCTGTCTATAATGCATGTTTAGCTGTCTATAACACCTGTTTATTATATAATATGATTACCTGTGTTGGAGCAGGTGTTGTATAAGCAACTTTTAGTCCTTCAACCAAATTTGGAACCTGACCGTCAGCTTCTTTTAATTCATCTTCTGTTGTTTCAGATACAAGCTGTATTTCTAGAATAAAAAAAGCAGATCACTTTTATTTGACCACAGATTAAATTTCAAAGATATCATACACAGCAATAGCCTGAACATGTTATAACTATCTGTAAAACTACTATTGTAAATATTAAGTTTGTTTACAGCAGGAGACAAGAACAGGTTACTAGAATGAAACCCAGTCTAAGTCTCTTTAGTTGCAGGACATTTGGGTCATTGGAGCGCCGACTTTATTAGCCCAGTCGGAGCAGAACTACTGTAGGACGTTAAACCCCATTTTATTTCATTCCAGACATTGTAGAGTCTTATATTCTGGTCCAATATATTATAAACCCATTCTTTAACTGAATATATACATTCAAACAATTATCAATTAAAAACATGTATTGGATATGTAGAGTGTTAAATACCAGCTGTTGAGGAAGCTGAATTGTTTAGGATAATGGTCATTACGACTATCTTTATCTTATATTAACATATGCACAATTGTCCAAACCATTAAGAACTGATAATATATACAGGTAATATATACAGGTAATATATGCAGGTAATACAGGAAATATATACACAATTAAACTGTTGACTTATAACCTAAGTGTTTTACTGATGAACGTAGTACTTTACAATGTTAAACTCATATCGTTGACTTATAAAGAGTATAATGAACCTAGATCTTGACAATGTTAAACTCATATCGTTGACTTATAAAGAGTATAATGAACCTAGACCTTGACAATGTTAAACCCATACCGTTGACATATAATGACATTTTTTTTCCCTGATAAACGTTAGATTGGATTTATCTTACCCCAGACATTATCATCATGAACTATTTCTTCTACTTTGTCTTCAGTTTTCTCTACTTTTGGTTTAGTTGCTTCTTTGATCTATAACAGATAAAAGTGACAATATTACTCATGCTCGTATATTCTGTTTATCATTTACACAAGGGACAGCATAGGTTGATGGAACCGCTTCGTGATATCCATTTTAAAGGAGCTAAATCGCTAATATTTTGGACCTAGAAATTAGCACAAATGGGTCGCAACACATATAATAATGTAATATGAATTTATATAAACTGTTTTACATTCAATCATGTCCGTTTTACTGTGAATTGTCATCAGTTATGTTCCGCTAAATACGCCAGAAGTCTCAACCGCAAGTCAGTTTCTAGCGTCTGGTTATTCCAGTCAACACCGATATTATTTATTGCCCATGCTCTCCAAATAAGAACATGATATCACCGTTTGACATGACTTGTGAAATATATCTAGCCCCATTCTTTGAGCACCTTGTTACAAATGGCGCTGAAACAATTCGTGTACCAATGGTAAAATGTTTATTTTGTCTTAAATATTGGATATCAGAAGCCCATCTTATCCAGGCAAGATCACAACACCAATGCTGATTTAAATTGCAAAAAAAATTGTGTTTTCAATGTCGAAGATTTTCGATGATATTGAGTTACGGACTTAGCTACTTTAATACTTAAGGAAACCGACCTATTGTTGTATTGATATTCCTTTTAGAGATCCAACTTTTATAGTATTAAAGTTTATAAGTGATTCCTGTATCACACGCACTAAAGGACTGACATTGTTATTACAGATACAACTTTTATGATATTATTTCTATACCACTCACCCAGGGTCTTTATATTAGGTACATTATTGGGATGGAGTATTTGAAGTTTGATGGATATTATAGACAGTGGGCTATAGAATCATGAACCACCAGGTGCACTCATCTGAAGAGCCTGTAACAACTAGACTACTCAACACCTAAACTATGCATGACTGGAGGAAAATAAGTCGCATCACAAATTTATTCAGCTGAAGACAACTTGATCCGTCAATTTCTAGAATATGGCCTGTGATAAAGTTTGTCATGTCATGTCTAAAGGCTGCGTAAGTTGAAACAACTACATGTAGACCACCGTCTCCGTCTCCATTGGCCCAGTCGGAGCAAACAGTAGGACTTTAACCCAGACTTGCTCTGACTTGAGACACGTAAGCCATGCCACGTTTAAAACCAGCACAGCTTGAAACACCCAGATCACACCATGTCTAAAACCTGTAAAGCTTGAGACACCATGTCATTAAAGATATAAAGAACTGAGTTTACCTGAAACGCTTGTTGTTGTTTTATACAGTAATTATCATCACATTGTGGATTAGGTCGTAATGTCATAGTTGGAAAATAATCTTGTAATGCATTATAACCTAAATAATAAGTCACATCTCCAAAACTTAATAAATACCTGAAATATATATATATAAAAAACCTGTTAAACATCTGGAATATAAAAACAAATTTTGATCAACATTTGGAATATATGAAAATAATGACAAAAGCAAGGCGCGGAATACGCCCACGCAGCAGCTTTTTCTCAACTGCAGCTTATCCGAAAGGAAAATTTTGAAGTTGAGAAAATATGATTAGGATCTAGGGTTCATCCTGTTGTGACCACATTGCTTCCAACCAAATTTAAATTTAAAAAAATGTTTAAATAAAAACCTGTAGTCTGTATCACGTTCACTTCGTATTCGGCAAAGTGGTGATAACTCTGGAACGGAAGACTCAGGTCTCCTGCTGATGAATATCGATAAGGAGCAATTGCTTCAATGCTTCAAGCCTTATATCAAAAAGATCCATCAAAAACTAAAATGTGTTCACAAATTTTTCCGGAAAAGGGGTATAACTCTGGAACGGAAATTCAATGAACGCTGAATATCGATACGATTCATCCTCAAACCAAATTTTACAAAAATCTGTTAACAACTACAGCCTCTGTCTTGTTTACAAGACATTGCCTTAAAACTAGAGCCTCTATCGCATTCACAATGTTTTCGGGACACTGTAGATAACTCTGAAATGAAAAGTTGCAGAATGACTGAGTTCATCCTCTAATGACCCCAATTCTTCCCACCAAATATGGCTTATATGGCATTCACAAGAGTTTTGGCAAAGCTGTTAACGAAACGTTGTGGAAAGATGAAAATCGATAGTGTTCATTCACTCATGATCCCAATGCTTACAGCCAAATTTGAAACTATTTTATCAAAAAATATAGCCTTTATCGCGTTCACAAGATTTTCAGAAGGGGGGGGGGGCATAACTCCGGAACTGGAGTAGTAGGACGCTGAAATTCGATAGTGTTTCATCCTCTCATGAACACAATGCTTCACACCAAATATGAAAAGAATCTGAGAAATCTGTAGCCTATATCAGGGGGGATAACTCTGAAATGGAAAGTCAGATAACACTGAAAATCGACAGGGTTCATTGGCTCATTTGAAAACAATCTGTTAGAAACCACAGCCTCTATCATGTTCACAATGTATTCAGAAAAGGGGGCATAACCACAATGATTCACATATAATTTCGAAATGAAATTAGGTTCTACGTCCTACTGTTCACCTAATTTCGAAAGAAGCCATTAAAAACTGTAGTTTCTATCACATTCACAAGTCAAAACCCTGCAGCTTTTCTGCAAAGTGTGTGTGAATGTGTGTGTGTGTGTGTGTGTGGGGGGGGGGTATACCTCATGACTTGCCTAGGTGGCAACTTGAATGACCTGGTGGTGGGTAGATAAAGGTATTGCGTATTTCAGGCCAATTGGACCAGTGCTTGTAAATTATGTAAAACTGCAAAGTTATATGACTCTAGCATTCATATTGACTGAGATATGACCATTTGAATAAGGGTACCCTTTCGCAAGTATTGAAACTACTAATATACAGTTTTACATAAATTTCCATGTACTATATTTTTCATAATTTTCGGGGGGGGGGGGGGGGAGATTTTATGATAGCTGTATTATTCGGCATTGGACTGGTTCTAACAATCATAATAACACAGCAATCATTCATTGTCAATTTAATCATCAATACTGCATTAAATACAAAATAAACAGAAATATTAAATACTGCATTAAATACAAAATAAACAGAAAGATTAAATACCTTGTAAAAGACCTGGTTATTAAGTTTCGTTCTTTAATCAGGTGTAAATCTGTATTTTAACGTTAGCTTGTGAAAGTCTTGCTGTACAGGTCTTATTGAACAGTACTGGTCTTATTGTACAGGGTGTACGTCTTATTGTACAGGGTGTACGTCTTATTGTACAGGGTGTAGGTCTAATGTGACAAAGTATTCTATAACTTTCATCAAATTGAATGATCATTTAGGTGCTTAAAACTTTATGACCTCAGCTGTTTTTTTTAAATATATGGTATTGATGTATAAACTTCTGTTAAGGCATGAACTGGCTATGATCTAATTAAACATGTAGTTAATCCCATATGTCATTTACAGCTTACATATGATCTTTGTACAAGCTCCACATGACTTTAAAGGAATATGCACTGGTTATTAAGCATACCATGATGTGATAAAGAGACAATTGCATGTATGATCATGAGTCGTATCTATTCTCCGGCACTATATAATCAGGAGTTTACTGACAGACAGACAGAGGGAGGGGGGGAATAAGAGAGGCTTGGACGAGTGCATGGACTCCTCTGAGTTCAGCCGCTGTCTTGGCAGAGGGGCGGAATGGTGGATTTAATATGTGTTCCCGATGTAGTTTAGTTCATACCTGATGTAAATAAACCCATATATGTACAAAACTGCTCTCTGTTATCACTTAACACTAAGATAGTGTTACACTTATTGTAGGGTGTAGGTCTTATTGTACAGTGCAGGTCTTATTGTACATGGTGTAGTGTTTCTTATCAAACAGTATTTACCATATAACATATAACAAGCACTGTATTCAATAACACATAGCTAGGGATTCTAATCAAACAGTATTTCTGGCCCCTATCCTCCTATATCATTTATATATACAGTATCATGTACATGTCTTGTTGGCATCAATAAAACTGTGTTTAATATCCTGTTTGTCACGCCTGTTAAATCAACACACACTCAACCTCAACCCAGTTAAATCATGTGACTGAACGATATGATCTGTGCTGTTATCTTATCTAATATCCTATCCACCTTTATATGATATGATATGATCTGATTTGATAAGAAAAAATATCTTATCTAATACACACTCAACCCAGTTAAATCATGTGACTGAACGATATGTTCTATGCTGTTATCTTATCTAATATCCTATCCACCCGTGACTTCTTACTTCATCAACAAAAATCTGATATACTAAATCAACAACATTCTTATTTTGTTTTGTGATAATATGTTTGATAGGTCTATCACTGAGAACTCATAAGGGGCTAATCTGTGCATCGACTGTATATAAATCTCTGTCTGGATTGTTATCTGTACGTCTATTGAAAGAAAATTAATTTCCCGATTATTACTCAGCATTATCGCGTTAAAACTGTAAATAAGGTGCGTTAATTAACAAGGGTAAGAAATTGACTGAGAGGTGAGTTAATTAACACTAGGGGTGAAAAACTGTGCAACAGTGCATTTTCTGTAGAGGTGTGTAAATTAACCAACCGGTAAAAAAGTAAATGTCAATGTTGTGTATTGTTTAATTGGCGTGTTTTCTCTCTAGTTGCAATATGCAATATCTGCACCAAAAGGTGTATAATCAAGGACCAGCAGGCTTTTTCTTAACCAGCCAAATCTTTAATAACCACCCTGCAATTTGAAATTTTTACATCTCCACCCTCATAAAAATTATTTAATTCACTAGACATATGTACACATTTAATGTCACTAAAATCAATGCACGACTCTGAATTTTCAATAAAGGCATCCAAAGCAATCATCGATACTCTCATCAAGGCACTTGTAAATTTCTACTTTGTCAAATCTCTGTACTCCCATTCCAGAATCTCCAATATAAATACTGTTAACATGCAAATTTAGTACCAAACTTAAAGACATTAAATCTGTCAATTTCATGACTTTACTTTGGCTTCAAATGTTAGACATTTATTCACATGGCAAGCCTATCAATCACCTCTCTAGACCATCAGACGACAGTGATTAAAGTGGATTAGAGCACTCGAGAGATTAATGGATATTCAAGACTTAGTCTCAATTGTCAAGTACCATTGCTACGATAATAGACAATGTATGTTACAACTTGTCAAAACTTCAAACAGTGATAACTCCACTCAGAATAAAGTAATTTGAATGAAATTGTCAATTCATTTCTTATTGTCTACTTCAAACTATTTTACTATAGAAAGAACGACCTTGGCTTTAACTAAACCTTACATAATGCATCTTTAGAGTTAAAAATGAAGAATAATGTGTTTAACATTCTACTTTTCTGCTCCGATCGCGCTACCTAAGATGGGCATATGACATAGTGTTCTATGAGGAAAATTTTACCCAGATTTCAGTGTTTCTGTTTGCTCTTCATCAAATTCCAAATTATTGGGGGTTCTTTTACGTGCATGCTAACATGGACACTGGTCCGTGATTTGTCGTTTCAACCAGAACGCCTGGAGATTTTATTTAATACAATATTTTTATTCCGGATATCTGAACGGCAGTGGGGAACAGGCTTAGCCTACTAAAACCCTTCTCCCTGGGTTACTGTGCCTTCTCAATCTCTCCGATTTGCACCACTGACAAGGAAAAACCACACTGGAAATTCCAGGGGGAGGGGGGAATTTATTGGCCAACATCTGGTTCTTCATTAAATATAAATACGAAAAATGTATAAATAAGAAAAATGTTTGTCGGTCTTGTAAAATAACCATTTATTACAAGGAATTGTCTGAGGTATTAAAGCTACATCTGGCTAATTTGAGTCTTGGGACAAATTTGTCATCCCTTCAAGCAGAAAGAAAGCAAGTTTACAATAACTAAATAATAATAATCTGTGCTATGTTGTTTTTTCTTTGTGTTTAACGATCAAATTGACCATATCAAGATAAAGTGGATAATTCAACCATATAGATAAACTACACCTGAAGAACCTAGCCAAACACAGAATACACAAGATAGACCTACGGACAGGACATAGATACCGCAAACAACAATTGTAACTATTAGATCAAGTGAATGGATCCAGGGGGCAGGCTGTAATCAATAAACATCCCGACAGGACCTAACATACACAATCAAGGGAAGGTATTAGGGGGCTAGCCTTAAGACTCCCCTGCTCTGTACAGTCACCTGTAGCTATATTCAGGTCATTAATAAAAATAGTTAACTGAAACAAAATAATACCCATTAGTCAAGCAGCATATACATGACAGTATTTTGGTGTATTGAGTGTATTTTGGTGTATTGACAGTATTTTGGTGTATTGACAGTATTTTAGTATATTGACAGTATTTTAGTATATTGAGTGTATTTAGTTTAGTATATTGAGTGTATTTTAGTATATTGACAGTATTTATATTGACAGTATTTTGGTATATTGACAGTATTTTAGTATATTGACAGTATTTTAGTATATTGAGTGTATTTTAGTATATTGAGTGTATTTAGTTTAGTATATTGAGTGTATTTTAGTATATTGACAGTATTTTAGTATATTGACAGTATTTATATTGACAGTATTTTGGTATATTGACAGTATTTTAGTTTATTGACAATATTTTGGTATATTGACAGTATTTAAGTATATTGAGTGTATTTTAGTATATTATTTCGGTGTATTGACAGTATTTCAGTTTAGTATATTGTTCAACATCCACTTGACCCAAACTAAGTCATTTCAGAACTAACATGGTTCAATTTTATTTCAACTATTTGCTTGTACACAGCAGTTTTTAGATGTGGGAGGATATGAACAGACGACCCTCCTCCTTCTCTGGTTGATGAGGGGAAATGAAACAACGCTACATGATTCAGTGTTTAAGCAGATGTCCACTGGTATATTGAGAGAATATCTATAAGGAACCTACTTGAGAGTATTTTGTACCAGGAATCCAGCAACAACGGCCATGGTAGTGGGTAAACTAGCAGCACAAACACCTTCTCTTTTTAACGTCTTCTCATCAGTTTTAGTTGCTACAACTAGTGGAGGAGCACACTGCAATAAACACAAAACAATACATTGACTACTGACCACATATACATAAAACAATACATTGACGACTGACAAAATAAACCTGTTTTAGTAGCTACAATTAATAGAGGAGCACGTTGCGAAAACTACTAAAATATTAAATATTCTTTTCTCCATAAATTGACTATCGACAAAATAAACCCTAATCCTTATAAGAAATATAGAAATAGATTTGTAGTTATCTATATATTGCACTACGTTTTTGTTAATTAATCATTATTTGCTTCATAACGATACCTGTATGAGTTTTGAAACGTAGCATGTTAATAAAATTCAGAAGTAGTATATCCATATTAGTGTGTTATTTTTAAAATAAACCCTGGCAGACACACAGTATAAACTCTCCAAAAGAGCGTCCCAAATTGACAGAATAGCAATCAAGCGACACAGAATTCAGTCCTTTCAGTCCTGAACATGGAGGTGGTGTAAGTAGAATCGGAATCGTGACGTAATTAAACACGGCGAATATATGTCTCAACTGCAATGGTTGGTTAGGATATTTTATTATTCAGAAAGCGCATGTGTTACAGTCTCAAATCCTCCTTTTTATTTGATTATCACTGTTTTCTGGATGGAGAGAATTAAATTCCAGAATGTTCAATTGAGTAACAAAGAAACATGGCTGGCTCCCTTTAAACAAAACTGAACCTGTTAAAATAATAGGCCTACTGACAGTGTCACTGCCTAGTTACGAATATATTTGTATATCTGAAAACAGTTTTAATTAATTTATGACTGATTTTCTACTGTTTTATGTATTTCAGAAATGTGATTTCATAAAAGATGATGTTTGAAAATGGTGTGATAGTCATGTGTGCAGAATTCCTTGAAGATATTTGCCAATAAAGATTTGAGTTGAGGAAGATCATTGAGCACAAAAATGAAAAAAAGTACACTGTTATATTATTTAGAGGGGGTTTATTGTCCATTCGACCACACTTTTCGACCAATCAGAATTGAGGAAATTTCTAATTGGTGCTACAATTAATTATAATATTATCTAGGGGAAGTTCGATTGTATGATAATCCTGATTACACTATAGAAATTGTTTGAAGTATTAAATAGGAAATAAAACTTACAACAGAAGGATGTTAAACCCCATTTCAATTGAATATGTTACTCTTTAATTACTAACCTCATCTCAAAAAACTTATTATTAAATAGAGTTGTGTCCCCTATTTTTGGAATACAGTATACATTAAGGTTTATAAAATGTCATAAAGTAAAAATTTGGTCTCCGTTCGGGGGCACATTTTATGTCAGTTAATATAAATCTACTGAAAGAGCAAACTCTGTATAAGCGACACTGTTCGTTATCGTAACAATGGTACATGACCATTGAATCGAGGCGATGTTGTCAACACCTGAAAGTCTGATAACTTCGCTCCCTAATGAGTAATTTGAAATTTTCAATGCATTCATTTTTCATTTTTGAACTATTATAACAAGAACAGCCAGCTGTTTATCTAAATCTTACATAACGCATCTTTAATATAACTATTATATCAAGAACGACCAGCTCTTTATCTAAATCTTACCTAACGCATCTCTAATATAACTATTATAGCAAGAACGACCAGCTCTTTATCTAAATCTTACATAATCTATCTTAAATATAACTATTATAACAAGAACGATCAGCTGTTTATCTAAATCTTACATAGCATCTTTAATATAACTATTATAGCAAGAACGACCAGCTCTTTATCTAAATCTTACATAATGTATCTTTAAAGGGGCTAATCAGAAAAACATTAATTCTGACTATTCATGGGTGAAAATGTATAACCCAGTGTAGTTGCAGCCAGAGAGAGAGAAATGGAGTTTAACGTCCACTCGACACAAACTAGGTCATTTCGGGACTAACATATGGTTCAATTTTATTTTAATAAGTCGCTTACGGGTAGGGGTCTTTAGCAGTGGGGAAATAAACAGAGAAAACTCACGAGGTTGGAGCATGGGTGAAGATATATAAGCAAGTGTAGTTTCAGCCAGCAGGAGATTGTCGAGTAAAGGGACGAATCAGAAAAAAAACTTACAGCAAAACAGGATGTTTCTCCTGGTATTATAAACTGTATATGACCAGAAACAGCGTTTTCACTTACTCCTGATTCTATCCAATTCTGGCCTAATTCATTACACGCCTACAACAAAATATACACAATTTATAGTAATCACACACCTACAACAAAATATAAACAATCTATAATCATTACACGCCTACAACAAAAATATAAAAATTTAGAGTCATTGTGTTTAACATAATGAAACGAAATGGAGTTTAGCATCCTAAATATAGTGTCAAATTTTTACTGTCAAGGACAAGGGTCCTTTTACCTCCAGGGTGCATATGTGACAATAATTGTTATTTATTTGTGATCTATTAGGAATGTTGAATTACAATTAGTATTAGAATTCTCAATTACAATCAGTGAGTCTTAGAATTCTCAATTACAATCAGTGAGTCTTAGAATACTCAATTACAATCAGTGAGTATTAGAATATTCAATTACAATCAGTGAATATTAGAATACTCAATTACAATCAATGAATATTAGAATACTCAATTACAATCAGTGAATATTAGAATACTCAATTACAATTAGTGAGTATTAGAATACTCAATTACAATCAATGAATATTAGAATACTCAATTACAATTAGTGAGTATTAGAATACTCAATTACAATCAGTGAGTATTAGAATATTCAATTACAATTAGTGAATATTAGAATACTCAATTACAATTTGTGAGTATTAGAATACTCAATTACAATTTGTTAGTATTAGAATACTCAATTACAATTTGTTAGTATTAGAATGTTCAATTACAACTATATCAGGAGGACTAGACGTTTTTGGAGAGCATAATGCACCAGATGATATGACATTTAAATTACAGTACATGTTTTCATGATCGGCTAATGAACAGGCTGTATTTCTAAAATAATTTGCTGTTTTCATTAGCCCAGTCGAAGCAGAACAGTAGGACGTTAAATCCCATTTCATATCAGTTACAAATATTTGATGAATAAATTTTATCTTTCAGAAAATGAGTGTCATGATAGGCAACAGATCATGATAAGCAGCAGATCATGATAGGCAGAAGATCATCCAAATTTACAAACATAGATGTATAATACATTACATGAAATCCCATATTTGTTTTAAAAATAGATTTATTCGGGCCATTTTAACAACAGGTTGTCTTTATGTGTTTGTAAATACAATGGGAGTTGGTTAATATTGTGTATAATCTATTGGTATTCATCCAGTAGGGTGCCTAGATGGCTGGAGAGGGTAGACATCTTCCAAATTAAGGTGATGGGTTCGAATCATGGCACAGACTCGAACTAACTATATTTATGATCAAGGGATACGATGGAAACGATTTAAAACTTACTGTATTTATTGTCATTCTGGCTTCAAAATTATCAACACAACTTAAAACTAAATTAACAGGTTCTCCTTCTTTTAGACCACCATTTCTAAAAATAAAAACAATTAAAGTATTTTCTCCTGGTCCTAAAAAAGTTCCCTACATGTCATATTCCTGAAACAATGACCCCAGAAATCCCTCCCTGGCCATCTACATGTCATATTCCTGAAACAATGACCCCAGAAATCCCTCCCTGGCCATTGCTGGATTGGCTTCTGATACCTGAGCTTTTGAGGGAGTGTGTCTATTCTTACCGTCCAATCAAATCTATCCCAAGTACAGCAACACAACAGTCTTTCGTTTAATCTGGGGTCTTCCCTAAAACTTTGGACAGTACGAGGAGCAGTCCATTTGCTGATTACACTATTTTGCTTGAATACACTATTTTGCCTATACCGTTTTTTAGGACTTTGAATTCTGTCTTATGGTTTGGATTGTTCGTACTTGGTTTTATTTTATTTAAGGTATTAAAAACGGTGAAAGTATTGTTCGTCTCCAAGCACTATTGTTTACATTGTTTGCCATTTTGATAGCCTCGTTTGTCACGCAATTAGTTTTTATGCAATATTCTACTATGCACTGGTTAATTGGGAGTAATAAATTTCACGAGTCATTATATAACGTTAAGTAAACATATCTGGAACTCTGTTTAAACCCGAACGATATTGTTACGCAGTTAGGTATTGGTTGTCAATTGGATTACTGACTAGTCATAATTTGGAACAGAAATTTGCTTTCGTTACAGCAGTGTTTGAGTGGGATTAGGTCTAATCAAACGAAACACTGTGTGGAGTATGCCTACATGACATAACATAGTTTGTGTTGAGTGTAATTTATTCAGGAATATTACTGACATGAATTTCAAGCCAGGAATGTGAACTAAATATGGAAAATTTTTCAAACAGAGTATCTATTTGTTGTTATTTTTGTGGTAATTGTGTTCAGTAGAATACGATATTCCTCATAAAAAATTATCAAGAATTATTTTTGTTGAAGTCTGATTAAAGAAGCTTAAAATCTTAAAACCTAGTTCCTACCGTGACTTGATTTGACCCAATTGCGGCCTGTTCATTTCAAAATGGATTAAGAACCCTGGTGTACATCTATCTAAAACACGTTTCCCACCCCGAATGTCGTTTCTGGCTTCCATTTTTGAAAGACTTACTTGATTCTCTCCATAAAATGATTAAAGTTGTCCATTGTCGTTATATTATAATTATAAACTTCAAATTCTACATCAGGATTAATTTCTCTACAAAAACAGAAAAATAAAATAAATAAAAGATTTCAAGTAGGAATATATTAACCAACCATCTGGAAACTGGACTTTCACTACACTTGCAATATGACCAACCTAGCGGACCGTCTGACAAAACAATACAGGAGGTTTTCCCCTTGTCAGTGATGTAGAACGGAGGGCCTGACAAGGACAGCTGCCTAGTCGTTTGGATGGGACGAAAAACCGAGGTCCCGTGTACACATTGGCGTGCACGTAAAAGATCCCTTGGCAGTTCGAATTCGATATAAGAGTAGGCCGTAGCGCCGCTGCCCGGGCAAAATTTCCCTCATAGCACACTGTATGGCGTATGCCCGTCTTCAGTTAGCCCAGGTTAGGTGCAGAAGAGTAGGACGTTAAACCCCATTTCATTTCATTTCATTTCAATACAGGAGGAGGACACGTGGGGGGGGGGGGGTGGAGTGGGGGTGGACGGCCGAATGGTTAGCACGTGAGCGTTATATCATGAGGCCTGTCATTGGGTCAACTGACGGGGTTTCGAATCCCCAGGTTGTACCTGATAAGGAGTAGGGTTGTCTGTCCAACCTCGTGGGTTTCCTCTGGGTCCTCGGTTTCCTCCCACTGCTAAAGACTCCTAAGCGCAAGCGAATTATTGAAATAAAATTGAACCATATGTTAGTCCGGAAATGACCTAATCTGTGTTGAGTGGACGTTAAACTCTCTCTCTGTGGACAAGATAAACTACAGACCACTGTAAACCAGGTATCATTTAATCGTTTAATCTTGTGTATCTAGCACTAATATCTTTCTTTTACATTCGTTTAATATCAAATCTTTTTTTAAAAATTCGTAAAAATCATTCAAAATCACCCCAGTTTAAAACTGAATGATTAAATTTGATGATGAGTGCCCAATTTACGAGTATTTAATTCCCTGGCCACTGTTCAAGAATTAATCATTATACATCAATAATCATTTGGGTTGTTTACTTTTTAACAGTAATCGAGAAATTAAACGCTTGTAAATTGGGCACTCATTATCAAAATTAATCAGTCAGCTTTAAACTGGACACAAGTACAAATGGTCAGCTTTAAACTAGACACAAGTACAAATGGTCAGCTTTAAACAGGACACAAGTACAAATTGGATGATTTTTGGTGATTTTAACCCTCAGAGACCCAGTGTGACGTCTATGTCACACCGTAATGGCATGGCAGTTAGAATTTTTTCGGTAAAATTTCAGCTGGATTTTTGTTCATTTTGATCATATTTAAATGTGGTCTGACCCCAAAAACCACAATACAACCTAGTTATCTCCCCCCCCCCCCCCATGCAATCCCACAACACCCTATTCAACATGCCATCCTCTAAGAAAGTTGAAGTCTGCTTCACTAATCCTCACTAAATACAGAACCTAAGTGATGCCAGGTAAAAGAAGAGTTTCTTTTTGACATTTAAAGTAAGATATAGATTAGTTTATCAAAACATAGTAAAAAGATCATGAGTTGTGCTCACAGTCATTAATACATGCAAAGAAATACTTGTGTGTGACGTATGTGTCACATTGGGCTTTGGCGTAGTGTTGTTGCGCTCTTTCTCTCACTTCGATGTAAGCCAGTAACGTCATACATGTAGCTACAATGTCAGTGTCGCTTGCTTATAAAATTTAAATATAGTGACGGTGGCAATCATTTCAGAATGTTTAATGGATAATCAGTTCAATTATTTTCAAAATCCAAACACAAACACATAATAGGTAGTTAGGCTAGGCCTAGTTAGTGGTCTGAATTTCTTCTCCAAATTGATCCACACCAAGGCAATGGCTGTGCCCCTCCCCCCGCCGAAACCCTTAGGCCTAATTATCTTCCGTAAGCCCACCCCACCTATTTGACACATATTTTACAAGGGTTTTGGAAAAATTCACAGTTTGTTGAACAGTGAGTTATTGCCAAACATATTTAGTGCCAATGGGCTGAGTGGGACTTAAGTTCTTATGCATCCCCACCCCAGCCAGTTGAATTGGTAACTATTTTAGTGGTCCAATCTTCACTATTACGGTATAGTATTTGTATTACTTATTTCAATACAAACTGTAATGATATGTGTTGACAATTGTGCGTTTGAACTTATTTGTATTTGCGCAGGCCCTCTTAGACTGTATCAATTGTAGCCCTAAACACAGTTTAGCGTGAAAATTGTAGCTATCACCCACACCCCTTATTTCTTAACTATCCATGTTAATTTGTATTGTGTTTTCTATTGTAGCATGAGCAAGAAATATTCTTTACAATACATGGTGATGAGAGTGACTCAGTGAGATAGGTGAATGTGAAAATGAAGATGACGACTCATTTGAATCTTTTAATAATGAGGATGAAAATGAAGAATATTGTGGATGAAGATATTATTGCATCAAATGAACCTGAAAGTGACAGATCAGAAGATCATCAGAAACAGTTTTCTTGGGGGTTGAAGAAACATTTGATGCATGCAGGATATATTGCATTTTTAGGATCAAATGACAGTGCTAAAATTGTTCAGTTTTATTTTTATGCATGTTGTTGTATCGAAGTATTTTAGATTTTAAAAAAATGACCATCTTTAGGTCATAAAGAATGAATATCGAATTAATTAGATTATAAAGAATAAATATCGAAAATGAGTACTGGGTATTGAAGTAAATTAGAATTATAAATAATGAAAATGAAATGGAATGGGGTTTAACGTCCTGCTGTTCTGCTCAGAACTTGTCTTGCTGTTCTGTTCTGAACTGGGCTAATGAAGACAGTCATACACCATACAGTGTGCTATGAGGCAAATTTTGTACGGACAGAGGCACTAAAGCCAACTCTTATATCGAATTCCAACTGTCAAGGGATTTTTTACGTGCATGTCAATGTGTATACGGGAGCTTGGTTTTTCATCCCATCCGAACGACAAGACAGCTGTCCTTGTCAGGCCCTCCATCCTTCATCACTGACAAGGATGAACCACACCGGAAAATCTGGATGAACTTTCTCAGCCAATGCAGAGATCAAACACCCAACCTCCAGGCTAGCGAGCCAGCGTCTTACCCACTTAGCCATTGTGACCCCCCTTATAAAGAATGAATATTGAAGTAATTTACATTATAAAGAATGGGGAGCTACGGTGGCTAGGTGGGTAAAACGCTGGCTTCCTAGCCTGGAGGTTGAGTGTTCAATCCCTGCATTGGCCGAGAAAGTTCATCGTGATTTTCTGACATGGTTTCCCCTTGTCAGAGGTGCAGAACGGAGGGCCTGACCAGGACACCTGTCTAGTTCTTCGGATGATACAAAAAAACGAGGTCCCGTGTATTCACTGGAGTGGACGTAAAAGATCCATTGGCAGTTGGAAGTCGATATAAGAGTAGGCCGTAGCAAAATTTCCCTCATAGCACACTGTATGGCGTATGCCTGTCTTCATTAACCCAGTGTAGGAGCAGAACAGCAGGACATTAAACCCCATTTCATTTCATTATAAAGGATGAACATATTACCTTGATAGGTGCATTGCATTCTTTTTTGTACTGTGATGACTTTCTACAAGAATGGTAAGTTTATGTGATATTGTTATATTTACTTGATCCAAATATGTTTGTTAGTTTACAATCTTATTTATTATTTATGCATGGTTATAATATTATTGATTGTAATAAATTGAATATTACACTGTTACATTGTATGCTTTTTTGTTCTGCGATAAATTTTGGTGATTATGAAAACGGTTGTATATAAAATATGTTACAAAGAATTGATTTCTAATCTTAAACTTTGCAATTATGGTTTGAGTCAACTGATATGTCTATGTCACAAAAACCCATAACCTTACCCATTCATTTAATCTTTGAATAGCATTGGGAGTGGTAGTGACTCAGTGAGTGATGCAGACTTGCTAACCAGAAAAGTTCCCGAGAATTTTCCATCATGGTTTTTCTGTGTCAGAGGTGCATGATGGAGGGCCTGTCTAGTTGTTTGGATAGGACAAAAAACAGGTCCCTTGTAAATGTAGGCGTACATATGAAACAACCCTTGACAGTTGGAATTCGAAAGAAGAGTAGGTTGTAGCGCCGCTGTATAGGCAAAATGCCTTCAAAGCACGCTGCATGGCGTATGTCCATCTTCATTAGCCCAGTTGGTGCAGAAAATAGGGACTTTAAAACACCATTTTATTTCATTGAATAGGATTTTAGCCGTATTCAGTGGAAAATATGTAGCTTTATGGATTCCAATACAGGTATTGGTTTTCTGTAAACATTTCAACAGTGGGGAATTGCAGATGAAAATTCACCAGTAAAATAATACCAGTAATTAAAATCCATAAAAGTTAAGTATTTTAGATTACCTACTAACTGTCCTGAAGATTGTCCTGAGTTATAAACTGACATTGCACCTTCAAAATAATATGATTATGTTGTTAAAGTGCACCTTTTCAACACTGGCAGAATCATTACAAAATCCGAAATTTGTACCCTTTGAAGCCCAATGTGACATATATATCACATGGCCAAATATGGTCAAAAAATAGAAAACTTTTAAAATTGTACTGGATATGTGATGGTCAACTTCTCATTGGGTGAATACATAATTTTCATTCATTTTAAACAAGTGAGTGGCAGCCTGGATGATTTTTACAAATTTTTGATATAAAACGAATATGAAAGAAATTAGTGTCAGATACAGAAGATTAAGTCTCCCGTCAAAAGGCAAAACCTAGTAACTCAAGTTTTTCTTATTTTGAGAAAACAAAGGAAAACGTAATGAATGAATATTAAACCCCAGCTTATCCATTAATTTAACTATTGAGTTACTAGATTTTTCTGTGGCATACTAGGCAAATGAAGGAAGTTGCTAGGTTGTGTCATGGGTGTAACTGCTTACAAAATCAAAAGATTTGGATATCTAGTACAATAACAGGAAGCACATACTAGGTTTTGACTTTTGACTTTTGACGGGAGAAGTGATACCCTGGTTACAGTGTAAACATCGCAAGAACGTAGCTGACAGTCGGTTAAAACAGACGGGAGAAAATAAACAGAAAGCATTTATTACTGCTTGAGTAAAATTCTTACTTGAGTGTTTTCTCAGCAGCCTCGACTTTACTCATACCAGCTTGGTGAGGTTGATAAAATAACCGGTTCATATTGGCCAGCTCCACTTTATCATAATCAAACAACAATAACTGAAATAAACAACAAACTCTTTATTATAGTCAAACAACAATAACTAAACTTAACAACAATCTCTTTATCATAGTCAAACAACAATAACTGAAATAAACAACAAACTTTTTATCATAACCAAACAACAATAACTAAACAACAATCTCTTTATCATTGTCAAACAGTAGAGTGTTACTAAACTTAACACACACACCATCACAGACAGAGGGAGATGGGGATTAGCGTTCAATCGACACAAACTAGCTTCAGTTTTATATCAATAATTTGCTTGCACGTAGGGATCTTTAGCAGTGGGAGGAAACCAGAGAACCCGGAGAAAACCCACAAGGCTGGACAGGCTACTCTACTCCTTGTCACGTACAAGACGGGATTCGAAACCATGCCACTTGACTCAATGGCAGGTCTTATGCATGTGTCAACCATTCAGCCATTCAACCGATCCCCACACAGACAAAAGAGGGAAATGAAATTGGGTTTAATGTCCTACTGTTCTGTTACGAACTGGGCTAATGTCAATGAAGATGGGCATACGCCATACTGTGTGCTATGAGGGAAATTTTGTCCCGACAACCACGCTACGGCCATATCTTATATCGAATTCCAACTGTCAAGGAATTTAAATGTGAACGCCAATGTGTAAATGGGACTTCATTTTTCAGCACATCAGTACGACTAGACAAAAGATGGACAGAGAAATAAAGTGGGGGTCTAACTCCTACTGGAACTTTCGAGGCTAACACCAGGATTGAACCCGGGAACTTCAGGTTAGCCAACCAGGGCTTTACTCCCTGAACCACCACAGCTCCTTGGACAAAGAAAAAAGGGGCCATTAAAATCCAAGTTATAGAGACTAATTTGTAATGTTGGCACCTGGTACATACCTTTCCTACACCCCACCTGTAACACTCCCCACCCCACCGACTCATACAACTTCACCTGGTACATACCTTTCCTACACCACACCTGTAACACTCCCCACCCCTCCCACAACACCACCTGGTACATACGTTTCCTATACCACACCTGGATAACATCTCGGCTGTAACACTTCCCACCCCACCCACTCCTATATAGCCACCGGGTACATACGTTTCCTATACCACACCTTGTTAACATTTCACCTGTAACACTCCCCACCCCACCCACTCCTACAACACCACCTGGCACATACTTTTCCTATACCACACCTGGTTAACATCTCAGCTGTAACACTCCCCACCCCACCCACTCCTACAACACCACCTGGTACATACCTTTCCTATACCACACCTGGTTAACATCTCGGCTGTAACACTCCCCACCCCACCCACTCCTACAACACCACCTGGTACATACCTTTCCTATACCACACCTGGTTAACATCTCGGCTGTAACACTCCCCACCCCACCCACTCCTACAACACCACCTGGTACATACCTTTCCTATACAACACCTTGTTAACATTTCACCTGTAACACTCCCCACCCACTCCTACAACACCACCTGGTACATACCTTTCCTATACCACACCTGGTTAACATCTCGGCTGTAACACTCCCCACCCCACCCACTCCTACAACAGCAACTGTATAATCACGGATTTTCTAAAATATAAAAAATGTGTATAATTAGTTTAATTAAATGTTGTGTTACCATGGTACTGTACGTATTTATATTACAACAAGCTTGTGTTACTTTCAATTTATTATTATCTTGGATGATAATGTGTTAGTCCCAAAATGACCTAGTTTGTGTCGAGTGGACATTAAACCCCATTTCTCTCTCCCTCAGTTAATGGTCGTTATAAGACAGTTTTCTACTATAAGTATCGGGACGAGGACCTGGTTCTCGATCACCAATCATCTTGATGTTGTTCTTGGGGGGCAACGCTCTTCAAAAACAGTCTAAGAGTATTGCCAATTTATGTACTCTCGACACGAAACTCAGCCGGATTGTTCCTTGGACAAATGAGCATCAATTGATCGATTCTTTGTTATGATGTCACAATTGCAAGAAGGCTGCGATGACGTCACAGCCAGATCCAGGTCCATAGTAAGATGGTACTTGTTTCACTATGTTGGCCATTTTGACTACTGAGGGGAGGTGACTCTAGTTGAACACCAAGTGGAAGATATAAAAAGGTTCAGTTATTTAAGAGCTAAATCTGCCAATTGCAGGTTTTTATATTGGCTTCAAATGTTATATAAACTATTGTTTAAAGGGACAATAACACTCTTGCTGGCTTGAAAGCTCCAGAAAATAAATAATATCTCTATTTAAGTACTAGATGTTTAAGTGTCCTACCTGTTGTGTAAATTATCCATCACATTCTATTTTACTTGTGCAGAGGGTTCGAAAATATTTTTAAATCGAAGTTTCATTTGAAAAGGTTTACGTTAGACGTTTCAAATCATTATGTTGAATTTTTCAAAATTTTTAAATAAGGTGTGTTAAGATGAAATTTGTATCATCAATTAATTGAAATATTCTAAAATAGTACAATTTGTTGACCAGAATAAAGATTGGGACATATTATTCAGTTACAACAAGAGTGGTATTGAGCCTTTAACCATTCATTTACAATTTACAAACACCTCTCTAGACCATCCGATGGCGGAGATTTAAACCGATTGAAACACAATTGCCATTTAATGATTTAATTCAGCAAGTGGTTGTCGTGCAAGATAAACCCACATTTTGCAAGATATAAACAGAGAATTCAAGCTAAAAACATGATTTGTCGTATAATGAATGGGTATAAACCAAGGAAGTTACGGTCTGAAAAGTGCCAATATCAAAAGGAACCGAAATCGTTGGGTTATAAAATTACATTTCAAGTTTCATCTAAACCGGATAAAAATTGTGATTTTTTTAACAATCAGGGGACACAATCCATTAAGTTATGGTCCAATACATGCCAATATTGAAAGGAATTGAGATCTTTGTCCCGGGAAACATGATAGGTCTACATGCAAAATGGTGAATCAAAACAAACTAGAACATTTTAGGACTAACATATGGTTCAATTTTAATTTGCTTGTGGGTAGGGGTCTTTAGCAGTGGGAGGAAACAGGAGGAACTGGCGAAAACCCACGAGGATGGACAGGCGACCCTATGTTTCAGGCACTGTTGGATGTACCAGTACCATAATTCTTGTGTTTTTCTATTTTTACATTTATTTTGTCGTCTGCTTACCTCATAATTATCAACTATTCCCATCCTCTTTAACGCCATCAATCGACTGGAAACAAAATCAAATGAAATTTAACGTACTAGTAATTGTCTGAATAAACTGTTTATACGAGGGATATTCTGATGCTATAAGGCCTACTCAAATTTCAAATTCCAATGGTAGGAATCATAATGAATTTATAGAACAAGGAAGACACATCATATCGTCATATGTCTGTGACATAGTTTAAAATTACGGCAAGTAAATTATGGTGGGTATCATAATATAGAGAGACCACCAATTAGGTAGTCACAATTTGAAAAAAATAAATAAATAAATTAAAACCTGTATGGATTGGAATCAACAACTTCAGAACTCATCTGTGTAATTTTCGGCCGATTTATTTGTTGTTTTTCATTTCTTTCTTTTTGTAGCTGAGCTTCCAATTCTTTTATTTTCTTTTGGAGACTTTCTATCGTCGCCATGTTGTCTTTTTTTAACTGTTGTTGTTGTCCAAAACGATCAAGAATTAGTCCAAATTAAAATTATTAGTCACAATATGTTTCGTCTTGAATAATTGTTGATGTGATGAAATTAAACGTGGAGTTAATCGAGATTGACCGGTCTTATTTTCGTTGGTTTATAAAGGGAACAAAAAGGCTGGACAAACAATCTCCTTCCCGGTAGTGCGTTTATAACTTTAACCAAGAAGAGCTGAGTTGGGTAAGATAACCCCTACTAATAACGTCAACCCCGCCCACCTCTGCTTGGAAATTTTCTTTTAAAAGTTATTTAATTGGATTGAGTTTTTATGCAGTAATAGATATTAATAGAACCAGATAACAAATTACCTTACTATCGAATCAGGATTTAACACACAGTCTACTTATATATGGAAAATGAAATGAAATGAAATTGGGTTAACGTCCTACTGTTCTGCTCCTAAACTGCGCTAATGAAGACGGGCATACGCCATACAGTGTGCTACGAGGGAAATTGTGCCCGGGAGACGGCACTATGCGGCTAACCTTATATCGAATTCCAACTGCCAAGGGATCTTTTACGTGCACGCCAGTGATACAAGGGACCTCGGTTTTTCGTACCATCCGAAGGACTAGTCAGCTGTTCTTGTCAGCCCCCCCCCCCCCCGTCCAGCGCCACTGACAAGGGCAAACGACGTCGGAAAATCCCAATGAACTTTCTCGGCAAATGCGGGGATCGAACACGCGACCTTCCCAACTTATGGAAGAACAATAACTGAATATTCATTTAGGCGACGTTTCGATAAGTATTCAACGTTTTCAAGAATGTAATTTGTTCTTCCATAAGCATGACGTTATAGTTTATTGATCTACCCAGTTACTAAATCATAAGTCCAGCGTGGACCAAGTTGCATTGAAATAAAGAGTTTGCTCCCCTTAACTGATGGACAGATTTTCACACATCTAGTGGCAGGAAACTGGCGCCGCTGCACTAGAATCACAGACTACGTAGTTTCCCCTTGTCAGTGAGTGATACACCGTGCTACGACCTGACAACAAACAGCGTTTAGTCTTTCGTGTGCTACGGGGAGCCGTGGCTAAGCGAGTGAAACGCCTAGAAAGTGCATCGGGATTTTCCGGCGTGGTTCCCCTTGTCAGTGGTGAAGGACGGACACTTGTCTAGTCGTTTGGACGGGACGAAAACCCGAGTTGTGTTTACACATTGGCGTGCGCGTAAAAGATCCCTTGGCAGTTTGATGCGTTATAAGAGTAGGCCGTAGCGCTGCTATCCGGACAAAATTTCCCCTGTGGCACAGTGTATGTTCGTCATCATTAGCCCAGTCGAGGCAGAACAGTAGGACGTTAAACCCCATTTCATTTCCTTTCATTTCGGATGGGACAAAAACCCGCGGTCGTGTGTACACCTTGGCATGCACGTAAAATAATCCTGGCCTGTAGAAATTCTATTGTTGTCCGCCCCCCCCCCTCCGAAATTACACCGTATGGCGTATTTCCGTCATGATTATAGGATGCTAAATCCCATTTCGTTTCATCGTATTCCTTTTCAGACAACAAACAGAATGAACGTGCGACGGGACGAATAACACCGAGGCTCAATGCAAATAAGTTTCTTCTACGTGTAGGACAATTAAACTTCGTGGTCATCTGATCTGTTTCACAGAATATTACGAAAGTCTTCTAATAACTCTTTAAAAGATCACTGCTTTCAACATATGACGTCACATCACGTGGTGTCAATCATTGGCTCAATGGGCAGTGCCTTGTTTACATAAGACGTTACTGGTTCGGGCAGAATGGTGCCTTTTACTCATTTTACACACCCATTTACACAAAATAGGGAATATTGTTTACCTACAAATACTTCAAACACCTTTAAGTATTTTTCTAAATGCTCTAGAATTTAATTTGCTTAAGGAAAAAAGTTAATATTTGGGGCTCATTAAAGGCTCAATACCACTCTTGTCGTAACTGAATAATATGTCCCAATCTTTATTCTGGTCAACAAATTGTACTATTTTACAATATTCCAATTAATTGATGATACAAAGTTCATCTTAACACACCTAAATTTAAAAAAAAATTGGAAAAATTCAACTAAGTGATTTGAAAAGCCTGACGTAAAGCTTTTCAAATGTGACTTGGATTTAAAAATATTTTTGAATCATCTCGACAAGTAAAATAGGATTTAATGGATAATTTACACAACAGGTAGGCCACTAACACATCTAGTACTTAGAATAAGGCTATTTTTTATTTTCTGGAGCTTTCAAGCCAGCAAGAGTGTTATTGTCCCTTTAAGCCGCACCGATGTCATCCCTATCAGTGCGTGTAGCGACCGAGCGAATATTCACTACTGATCAGTGTGCCTCGTGGTTTCCAGCAAGCCTCGTCAACTTACGGTCATGAACGACTGATTCCGGCGACACCTGAACTGTCCACAAGGCTAGGATGCGAGCGGTGATTGGACCTCTATGGTGCCACAGCTTAAAAATAGTAGTAAAAGCAAAACATCCTGCGCTAAATCACCGTTCGTTAGATAGGCGCAACGTGCGGGTAGGGTGGGAGAGTTACAGCAGTGTTATCGTCTCCTCAAATGTGTTGTAAATGAGTCGTTTACGCTCACTTTATGTTTTCGTTTCCATTTAATTGACCAGATAGACCTGCCAATATTATTAGTCAAACAGCCTTCATGCCCATACTTCCGACAACAATAGACCTAATAATTACGATGAGTCTGTCAGAACCAAAAAAAATATCGACAAATAACGAATTGGACCCGAATCGAACGTAAAGCAATTTATGTGATCTTTGGATGTTTAATGTCAAGTACAGGAGGCAACGTTCACATAAATTATAAATATGATTTATTTACAGTTATTTATGTTAGTTTGTCGGTTGATAGTCAAGTGTTTTCAACTTTGTGCACTTGAGTGGTCTGGCGCCCACACATTAAATCTACTGCCACTATTTTTGGAGAGAGAGAGAGAGAGAGAGAGATGGGGTTTAACGTCCACTCGACACAAACTAGGACTAACATATGGTTCAATTTTATTTCAACAATTCGCTCGCGCGTTGGGATCTTTAGCAGTGGGGTGAAACCGGAGGACCCGGAGAAAACCCACGAGGTTGGACAGGCGACCCTACTCCTTGTCACGTACAACCGGGGAATGTAAACCACGCCAGTTGACTCAATGACAGACCTTATGATACAACGCGCACGTGCTAACCATTCGGCCACCCCCACCCCACTTCACAATGACATTTAGTAAACTTGAGTTGAATAGAGTTGCATGATAAAGCCAGTTAAATTGAAACATGATGCTTTTAGATTAAAACCATGAGTGATTGTTTCCATAAAAAAAATGTGTTCTGTTTAATGTGTTTCTAAATGCCATTTAAAGATTAAATAAAAGTCTGGTTTCATCCAGACATCGTATAATACAACTTGGGACACCGGTCGCCATTTCTAGATTAAGACTGACAGGTTTAATTTGTTTTAAAACGTATCACGTATATGAGTTAGTTGCTCGACACTAAGATAGACGATTTAATGGGCTTTTAATACAAAATTAATCAGCCATTGAATGTCCTACTTCTCTGCACGGCAATCTGTACACGGGACATTTTCCCATCCGAATGACTAGACCATGTTCCTTGCTAGGCCCTTCGTCCTACATCACGCTGAAAAAAAACGAGGAGTTTTCTCGGCCAGTACCGAACCAGAGAAAATGAAACGGGTTTTACGTCCTACTTTTCTGCACCGACTGGGCTAATGAAGACGGGCATACAGTGTGATATGAGGTAAATTTGCCCGGACAGTGGCTCTATGGCCCACTCTTTTACGTGCAAGAAAATGTTTACATGGGAACTCGGGTTTCGTCCCATTCGAACGAATATACTCTGACCCTTTCTAGACCCTCCATTCTACATCATATACTAGGTGTAACTACGCCGGAAAAATCCGATGATATGTCTCGGTCAACACTGGACCGTCTAGCCAATATCTTACACACTGAGCCACCGCGGCTCCGAAAGAGACACTCATGACGCGATGAACGAAAAAAAATAGTGATACCATGTCTATAAAACACGAATTTAAATAAATCTTCCATTTTAAAAAAAAAACCAAAAAAAAACCAACACCATGACTCATGTTGATAAATGTTACATACGATTAGAAATGGCGACCGGAGACTTACCTAGATTATTCAACTGTCGATTCGTCTGTCATGTTTTTATAAAAACCTATATAAAACTAATTTTCTTCTAACATAACAAAGGATACATTTGTCTTCTATGGTAATGGCGTAGACATTCAAATATCGTCTGCCTTTAAAGGGAGCATCAACATTTTGTTAACGATTGCTGTTAAAATGTCCGCGTTTCTTATACTAGTGTGTGCTCCAGGCTGGGATTTAAGGGGAGAGAAATGAAATGAAATGAAATGGGGATTAACGCCCTACTGTTCTGCTCCTAAACTGGGCTAATGAAGACGGGCATACGCCATGCGGTGTGCTATGAGGCGGTACGGTCTACTCTTATATCGAATTCTAACTGCCAAGGGATCTTTTACGTGCAAGCCAATATGTACACGGTACCTCGGTTTTTCGTCCCATCCGAACGACTAGACAGCTGTCCGGGGCCTTCGCCACACTCTTTGCCATTCTCCGCACACGTTTCGCTATACAGCTTCAAGGAAAGACAACTCTGCTTGATAGACTGCTAGGGCAACGTTTTGGATTTGTCAAACTCGATTTCAATTTGGCGGTAGTAACGCGCAGGTTATACGGAAATGGTGTCTGCCCAGGGTCGTTCGGTGGAACAGAGAAAAACGTAGGCCCCGTATACAAAATGGCGAAACCGGAAAACCCCGCATAGTTTGGAAGGCATAACTTCTCCTTGCCACGACAACTATAATAATCCCCACCCCCCACCCTCTCCCACCCTCACGACCAGCCGAATTGGTCTGGAACCGGTCGTTAAAGAAATACATTAACGATACTTTAAATTTTGGTTAACATCAAAATACTTTTGGCATTGGCGTCGTTACCCCTTGTAAGCGGAGGAGAACGGAAGATCTGGCAAGAAAAAACGTTAAGTCGTTCGGACGGAACGGAAACCCGAGGTCCCGTGCATATATTGGTGTTGACGTAAATGAATACCTGT